TATATATATATATATATATATAATATGGTTGAAAGACATCCCTATATATATCAAGATCTCTCTGAGACGCTAAATATCGAGGCACCATTCCTACCAAGACGAAGCGAGGCTTCAGGGAGCCTTCAGGGACCCATTCACCTTGTTTGCGTCATTTACATACAGATAACTACCAACAGGATTTAAATGCAAATGTGAGCCACGGAAGGTGGTCCATGTGGAGCCCAACTGGCTCCTCATGCTGCAATGAGCCTTTAATTTTGTTATATAATTATCGTTTAGTGATGTAATGCCTCAAGTTCTTTCTAGAGTGGATGATGTAATTCGTTTCTTGCCACCACTTTGAGTGTAGTGTGATATATATATATATTATATTTTTGATACACTTTCTATGTTCAGGTGATAGTCATCAATATATGTTGATGGATGTGACGTGACATGTTGATGTAACGTCCATCAATGACTGACGGCTCAAAAAAAAAAAAAATACAAAAAAATAATAATAATGAAATGGTTAACAGGACATATAATCCCCTTGAGACGACAGGCGGTCCCTTGGCGTGGCCACCTGGGTATTGAGTCATGCAAAGCCAGGGACGTGTATACCCAGGTGAGTGTATACCCTGGTGAGTGTATACCCTGGTGGGTGTATACCCTGGTGAGTGTATACCCTGGTGAGTGTATACCCAGGTGAGTGTATACCCTGGTGAGTGTATACCCTGGTGAGTGTATACCCTGGTGAGTGTATACCCTGGTGAGTGTATACCCTGGTGAGTGTATACCCTGGTGAGTGTATACCCTGGTGAGTGTATACCCTGGTGAGTGTATACCCTGGTGAGTGTATACCCTGGAGAGTGTATACCCTGGTGAGTGTATACCCAGGTGAATGTATGTCCCCTGGTGAGTGTATACCCTGGTGAGTGTATACCCTGGTGAGTGTATACCCTGGTGAGTGTATACCCTGGTGAGTGTATACCCTGGTGAGTGTATACCCTGGTGAGTGTATACCCTGGTGAGTGTATACCCTGGTGAGTGATATACCTGGCGAGTGTATACCTGGAGAGTGTATACCCTGGTGAGTGTATACCCTGGTGAGTGTATACCCGGGCGAGTGTATACCCTGGTGAGTGTATACCCTGGAGAGTGTATACCCTGGTGAGTGTATACCCTGGCGAGTGTATACCCTGGCGAGTGTATACTCTGGCGAGTGTATACCCTGGCGAGTGTATACCCTGGTGAGTGTATACCCTGGTGAGTGTATACCCTGGAGAGTGTAAACCCTGGTGAGTGTATACCCTGGTGAGTGTATACCCTGGCGAGTGTATACCCTGGTGAGTGTATACCCTGGTAAGTGTATACCCTGGCGAGTGTATACCCTGGAGTGTATACCCTGGTGAGTGTATACCCTGGCGAGTGTATACCCTGGAGTGTATACCCTGGTGAGTGTATACCCTGGCTTGGGTTTGAATCCTGATGGAGGAGGATTGACTAGGCGCCAATCGTTAACTGTCCTCTAAGCTCCCCCAACAGTGACAGGGTACCTGGTAGTTAGGCTATTGGCAGGTCGTGTTCCAGGGGGAGTAGTGGGTAAGGCTTACCATGAACTATGGGAAGGTGAAGCTCTCAGCCTAAGAGGAGTACCGTCGTGGGTACCCGACTGGGGGTACCGTCGTGGGTACCCGACTGGGGGTACCGTCGTGGCTACACAGGTTTTAAACACAGGTAAGTACTGGTTCCTGTACCCATCTGTGTTACAAAAACAAGAACTATGAACGGAAAGAAGAAAGTTTTCAACTATACTTACAAGTGACTCTCAAGAAATGTTCCCCGCGTGCTCTCGGATTTGGTTTTGAAGTAGACGTGGAGAGCGGGATGGCGGACATTACTTCCGAGTTCTACCTTTCTACCTCAGGTGACTATTCCACCCTCGGAGGGGACTGTCGCCCCCCGTGGCCCTCCCTGTGCCCTGTGAGGAGCCAGCTTCCAGCACCAGTAGTCCGCGTGATGGGATGAATTATCCTGCAAGTTGATTTTGGGTTGGAAATTTGTGTTCTCATCAGAGGTGTTATAGAGTGCCCCCTCCCCCCTGCCCCTCCGACCCCTGGTAAGGTGCGCCAGGCCGCCTTGTAGGTGTTCTCCTCCTGTCTATATTGTGCGTGTTTATTTTATGAAATATGTCTGTCTCTCTCACTCTCTCTCTCTGTCTCTCTCTCTCTCTCTCTCTCTCTCTCTCTCTCTCTCTCTCTCTCTCTGTCTCTGTCTCTCTCTGTCTCTGTCTCTCTCTGTCTCTGTCTGTCTCTGTCTGTCTCTGTCTGTCTCTCTCTGTCTCTCTCTCTGTCTCTCTCTCTCTCTCTCTCTCTCTCTCTCTCTCTCTCTCTCTCTCTCTCTCTCTCTCTCTCTCTCTCTCTCTCTCTCTCTCTCTCCCCGTGGTGCTTATATTAACTCTGTGGTCGAAAACATGATTAGTAATGGACCAACAGTAAACAACCTTTTGTAATTTGAACTCTATAGACTCCGGAAATAGATGTCTAAAAATCTATTATAAATATTCCTAGGCCTAGTGGAGCACATATATGTACTGTATTAGGCTTAAGGTAGCGTGTATTAGTTCTATGTAGAACTAATTTCTAAATGTAACATTTCTAATTGTAAAAATTATTAGGAAAATAGTTATTAGATTGAGAAGTTAATAGTTGAAAAAGCGGGACTTAGGAGCTGGCGCTCGACCCTGTGACCCGTGGAGGTGAGTGTAGAGGCGGGCTCGTGCGCGCGCGCTCCCGGCTTGTTGGAACTGAGTTGGGAATCACTTTTGAAGTTCTTGTTCTATTGTTCTTCTCCAGCAGACGCAGGAAGCTCGGTGTTCTCATTCTGTTCCACACTGTGTCTCCTCTTTCTCTCTTCCTCTTGCCTCTTTACCCTATCACGCCCCCCACACCCCTCTCTCCTCTCCTCCACACCCCTCTCTCCTCTCCTCCACACCCCTCTCTCCTCTCCTCCACACCCCTCTCTCCTCTCCTCCACACCCCTCTCTCCTCTCCCCCATCCATCACCCCAGCCCCATCAGTCACCAGCATCTCGTCACCCATCATCTTCTCGTCACCATCTTCACTTTACTTTATTTTCACTGGAAGAGTGAAAATAAAGTTCTCTCCTCCCCTCCCCCTTCTCTTCCCCTCTCCTCTCCTCTCCTTGGAAGAGTATGTCATTAAACAAGAGCGTCCCTACCAGTCTGTGTGGAGGGCCCCGTCCCGGCCCCTGTGTGTGGAGGGCCCCGTCCCGGCCCCTGTGTGTGGAGGGCCCCGTCCCGGCCCCTGTGTGTGGAGGGCCCCGTCCCGGCCCTGTGTGTGGAGGGCCCCGTCCCGGCCACTGTGTGTGGAGGGCCCGTCCCGGCCCCTGTGTGGAGGGCCCCGTCCCGGCCCCTGTGTGTGGAGGGCCCCGTCCCGGCCCCTGTGTGTGGAGGGCCCCGTCCCTGCCCCTGTGTGTGGAGGGCCCCGTCCCGGCCCCTGTGTGTGGAGGGCCCCGTCCCGGCCCCTGTGTGTGGAGGGCCCCGTCCCGGCCCCTGTGTGTGGAGGGCCCCGTCCCGGCCCCTGTGTGTGGAGGGCCCCGTCCCGGCCCCTGTGTGTGGAGGGCCCGTCCCGGCCCCTGTGTGTGGAGGGCCCCGTCCCGGCCCTGTGTGTGGAGGGCCCCGTCCCGGCCCCTGTGTGTGGAGGGCCCCGTCCGGCCCCTGTGTGTGGAGGGCCCCGTCCCGGCCCTGTGTGGGGAGGGCCCGTCCCGGCCCCTGTGTGTGGAGGGCCCCGTCCGGCCCCTGTGTGTGGAGGGCCCCGTCCCGGCCCCTGTGTGTGGAGGG